AAAAAATCCATTGTTAAAGGTAAAGTTCACACATCTGGCTCTGTAGTAAAGAAGCCATTTATAGTGTTTTCTCCGTAAATCTTTTTTTAAATTCAGGATTTGGCTTATCTCTGTGATTTGATCGTTGTTGTTTCTGTCTCTAATGAGTGCACCAGGCTGTCAGCACTGGCACCTCACAGCAAGAAGGTTTATGGTTTGAATCCCGGTTCGACCATGGCCTCTCTGTGTGGAGCTGCATCAGAGTACTCCAAAATCATGCAGATCGGGGTTGGGTTATATGCGGATGTGAATGTTAGTGTGAATGGTTGTTTCTGTATGTTGGCCGTGTGTTATACGCTGGCGATGTGTCCAGGGTGTACCCCACCACCTTTAACGTCAGCTGGCGTAGGCTCCAGCCCTCAGTACAACCCTTAAAGGATAAGCGGTATAGATGATGGATGAATGAATGTACCAGCGTTACAGAAGCACATAAACTGACTTCTCAACAGGGTTTGATGACGTCTGTATAACCTGGGAGCCCTGACAGTCATGGGTTTGACTCTTGCTTTTGTTAAACTATTCAAACCACCCAAGATACAGTCAAGCAAACCAAAAAAAGAAAACAGCCTTCCAGAGGTATCATTTGTAGACTGTGTCACGGCTGTCGTGCTTGTCTTAATAATTGATGCCTGCATGGAATTCTGTTGTGCCTCTTTTTCCCTTTTCCTTTTTTTTTCAAATTTCGGATCAAGCAGGGTTTGTTTTTTCACTCGTGCTCCAGTTGGCCGGCCTCCACGGAGCTTGAAGGAAAGTCACAGCGTTTGGATTGCCACTTATCATACTCAGGCACGCAAGAAATTAAACCTCCGTAGCCTCAGGTGAATGCTCCGTTGGTCAAGGTGCTTTGCATTTTCGAGTCATTACATTGCTGTTCTGCACTGATTGTCTTTCTGCTCGGAGAGGAGAGGAGAGGAGGGGAGGGGAGGGGAGGGAGGGAGGTGGTTGTCTGTGCAGCAGCATGCATGAGCAACATTTCAGGAGTAACTCCTGCTGTAATGATCCTGTTTCAGAGATTTGTCCGGTTTCTAGTGAAGATGTGAGATCAAATGTAAAAGCACGTAGAGGGGTAAGCTCTTCATTCCAAGGTCAGGATTTTATCCCGGGCCTGGATAAGTAGAGCAATCTTTAGAAGTCAAGAGGATCAGTTCGTATTCACCAGCCTGATCTTTTTTCTTTTCCTTTTTTTGTCGGTGCACAGTAGAGAAAACTCCTGGTCTTGGCACATGCACAGAGCCGAGTGCCGCCTCCCCAGAAATCAGCTCACAGTCTTTATTCTGCTAATACATTATTGAAAGGTGATTTTTGCAGCTGCACTGCGAGAACAAAGGTATTGCAGTTGTCACTTTCAACTTCACAGACAGAATGGGGAGGATATTTTGGGAAACTTTGTGTGCACGTGTGTGCGTATACTTGTACCGAGCATATATCTTTGTGGGGACCATTTTGAATTAAGACCTTCTAGAGTTGGTCCTCACTTTTTCAAAGGGCCTTTTTGAGGATTGTGACTTGCTTTTAGGATTATGTGGTTAGAATTAGGTTTAGATTCTGTTAAGGGCGAGGATAAGGTAATTTAGTTGTGATGGTTAAGTTAGTGTAAAGGGCTGTAGGGAATGGATTATGCTAATGAGGGTTCTCACTAAGATAGCGGTACAAGAATCTTTCTCTCAGTACCTCTATCGCTCTGTGTTTGTGAGTATACTTATATCTTTGTGAGGACAATTTTGAGCAAGAGCACTTTGAAGTGAGGACACTTTGACATTGTGAGGACAGTTTTTTTTGACTGTTTGAGGGTTAAGATTTTAGGGTTAGGTTCAGAATAGGTTTGAGTTATGATAAGAGTGGGGGGTTAGGGTCAGTAATCTCGGAGTCCATCAACTATCGTCAGATGAGAAATTAGCCTCTGGAGGCGACGGCTAATACTTCGAGGCTTCCGGTGCAGATAGCAGATATTCAGGCCAAAACTCCATCGCCTGTTCGTGTGTGTGTGTGTTTCTCTTCCTCTCTCTGAAGTTCCACAAGACTTGACTCCCCTCAAGCACATTTGTCGTGGCATCTGCCAGTGTCCTGAGTGTGTCGAAAGCGTTTGTTCTCACGCTGTTCCAAAAGGAGGATGTCACAGGTTCAGAATACGACCATTAGGCGCTGGTCACTCAGCTCCAAAGAAAATGATAAGACTCAAAGCTGCATGATTCTCATTCATGAGTTTGGTTTTTATTTCCATTTCTTATGTTATTCTTTAGTTTGATCTTCAGTCGTATTTTTGAAAACGACTCCAGCCTCATGTTTTTTCAGTTTTATCTCCCTCCTGCTTGTAGCACACAGCACTGGCAAACACATCAGTATGTTAAGTCCAAATTGCATGGCTGAATTATCACGCTCTCTCTTCCTCCCTCCGTCTCCCCTCCGTCTCCCCCCCCCCTCCACTTCCAAACCCCACCACACTTCAAATGTCTCACAGAGTTACTGAGATGTTGCACTGTCGCTGCACAAGTCTGGATTTTAGGTTACAAATCCTCAGAGCCCTGCAGGCCAACCAAGCGAGACCCTGAGTCACCAACTGCAGTGTGTGTGTGTGTGTGTGTATATGTGTGTGTGTGTGTGTTCAGAGAGGAGCGAGTGACACTGTACGAGAAGGGAAATCTCGATTAATGTCACACAGCAAAGGAACATGCACTGTTCCTCTACGCCAGGCTTAAAATTAAAACATCTCTACTTACATGATTTGTGTTTTGTTATCCTCCTCGGTATTAAATAGATTCAGTGTAACCTGTGCTGATGATTCATTACACAAACAATTATCATGGCTGTCAGTTCACAGTGGGGTTAGGCCGAAGAGGTCTGTAAATTTCTCCCTGGGCTAGAGATGTTTTTAAAGGGCCTGTTAGAGTCGTCAGATGAGCCTACAGAGACCTTTTTTTTGTACGTGATAGATTTTGCAGTAAAGTACGTCCCAACAACCTTGGGGTGCGATCCCAGTTGAACATACATCATTGCTTTTCATCCCGACTGTGCAGCGAACAGGCTGGTGGAGCCAGTGGAGCTGCATCGGTGGCCACGAGCACCAGTGGATGTTCTGTTCAGCAGCTGGTGAATAAGTAAAACTCCACCTGCTGTAATTCTCCTACGTTGCTGCCGTACACATGAGCAGCTTGTTTTCAGGCAACAGGATAAGTAAATGAAAGGTTATGTCAAATTTATAATCATAATTCTGAGGAAAAGAGCAAATGGCTGTGTGCGTTTTCTGATTTTAAACTGCATACTGATAAGAAATGTCAGTATGTTGCGGAAGACCGTATTTCGCTTTATTGCGATGAGATGAGATTAGATGAGAAGATTGATGCCACGCTCAAGTCCGTGCAGATTAGCTCTGAATCGCACAGAACCACAACCTTTCATTTTTACTTTGGTAAAAAAGTGACCACGTGGAAATGAGTCAGTGTGATGAGAACTAGGCTACTTTAAAGACAGACACCATCTTTGAGAAATTGAATTTTTAATTTGGTTCAAGTCCCAGCTACTAACATTGTGGAGGCAGGGTTTATAATCAACACTGCAGCCAGCCACCGGGGGGCGATCAAAACACTTTGGCGTAATTTTTGTTATGTCGTCCATCTTTATATACAGTCTATGGTTAATTTATATGATTCAACCATGTCTGTAATCTACCTTCTGTGTTCTGCTCTGAATATCTGCATTAACAACACAGGAAACAATAAATTATTGTACTCATTCCAAATGTTCATTCTAAACGAAGCCTCCAATCATTTTCCTATTTGAAATAGGCCAAGACATTAAAGAAGGTGGGTTATGATGATGATATATAGTTAATAAGACAATAAAACTGTTATTTTGCTATAATGCTTGTATCAGTACAGAGGGACTTATCCCTATAATCTGGTTTCTGGTTATATTGGACCCTTGTAGAAATGATTGTATATGATTTTTGATATAAAATTGTGTATGTTGTTTAATAACTTGGCTTCTTTTGTTCCTAAGTCTTGGCAAAATGGGACAGGTTGTTTTTTGTTTGGTTTTGCTGCTCTGGTTACTTTTTCTAAATAACGGTGTCTTTTAAACGACTTTAAATTTGAAATTTAAAATGACTTCTAACTGTTTATCATTTTGCCCTCTCCTGTCTCAGTGTCTTGACCAACCCCACATGGTCACTGCAGAGAAACACCTGCAGATTTCTAGCTACAGATCATAATAACCTGAACAGCCAGAACGCCCTGCCCCTGACTCCTGCTGCTGCTCCAAAGGCAACAAAGGGCTGCAGGTTGTTATCGAGACATTTTTTCGGTGTGTGCGTGGCCTCTAATGATCCCTAATAGGTGAAAACACCTTCCTCCTAGGTCACACTGTTCTCCAGGTTTGTTTGCTCCTTTCTGGGAGATATCTGGACAGGACCAGGAGCGAGACAGGTCCTTTTTCCCAGAGTTGAGGACAAGAGAGGACAACAATGAAACTGATAAAAACTTAAAATCTGTGGTCGTCTGGTCTGGAACGCCAAACGGCTATTGCCCAAAAAGTTCATTCGAGTGGGTTAGAGTGCAAAAAGTGACAGTCGACGTGTCCTTGAGGAAGAAACCAAGCCCCCAACAGAGCCGCTCCACTGATCAGGAGGACAGAGCATCGACTGTGAACATCTGTGTGATTTTGAAAATGTAAAAGCTCTAAAAAAAGATAACAATTTTTAAAAAAAAGGTCAGCGCAGGACACGATCTAAAGCGGTGACCGACTCCTGACTCGATCCTCTCCACTGCTCCCGAGTTTTTAATCCTCAAACGATGTGTGTTATGTATTCTCAGATCCCTTTTGCAGCTGTGGTAAGGCAAGTGCTCTGGGCTTTTGGTTTATGTAATGACTGCAAAGCAACACACACACAGAGCAGGCTGACTGAGCTGCTGCATGGCCAACATCGTAGCGAGCCGAAACAGAATCATTACAAACACTTTCACTTATTAAATTGGCATGCTGCTGGATGCGAGATTTATTTCATGGTTCGGTACAAAAGGAGGAGAGCAAAGCGCAGCATCTGAAGGCCAAGGATCCTGTCGAGCCATTGGAAACATTCTCAGTACAAACATATCTCCTCATTTTTGAATAGACGGCCTCAAAGCGTACGAGTCCCTTTACTACAAGAGACGCTGCATTGTGAAATGAAGGCCTGACAGTGATTGATATAGTGTTTCTGTGCAAAAAAATTCCAGCTTATCTTTTCCAGAGGGCACCACTCGCATTAATCGAGGAATGATTAATGTTACAGAAAACATTTTAAAGCTATTCACGGGAGACACTTGTCATTGGTCGCCCCCAAGGACTTTCCCTGCTGCAAATGATATCGCTGAAGGTTCTTTGTATTGTTCTGACGTGACAGTGGAGTTGACAGAGAGAGGATCCCTCAGGCTTGGTGTGGCGCTCGCTCACTAATGACCTTAAACCCCCCCACACACAGTGGTCAAAGGTCAGTGGAGGCCTGAGCGAGACTCAGCTCTCATTAAGATGTTTACAGAAACCATGAGAGCGAGCGTGAACACTGATTCAGCGCAGCACTCAGTTTCTGTCAAAATCAGATGGTCATACCCTCCAGACACAGTGCACACATCCACAGAACAATGGCGCCACCTGGTGGACGGTGTGGCTTGTGCTTTCATGATAAAGCTCATACATGACAAATGAGGGAACAATGTAAAAAAAAAAAAAAAGTTTTTTAAAATACAGAGGTTCATCCTCGAGATGTGTGTTTATCTGTTTCATATTTATCACCAAATAGAAAATGAATCTTGATCAAAAATGTTTTTTTACACAACATGAAGACTCTTCTTCTTCTTTTTCTTCTTCTTCATCAAAACATTTGTCTGTGTTTTCTGAATATTCCCGAAAGCATCTCAGGCTCGTTTGTGAATTGACACAATTCAATATTTTCTCTGTGCTCTTCTCTCAGGTCCACTCTCAACTGTTTACCCCTGCAGCGGCGTACTTCAGAGTTATATCTGTCAGAGGGAAAAGACATCGATGAACTCACAAGCAACGTTTCATAAAAGATCTACAGAGTCTGTACACAACGCTTCTCAAACTATCTCACTGCCTAAGTAAGTAAAAACTACAGAACTGCTTCTTGTTCTACATTAACGTTTGGAGCACATTTAATTCAATCTGGATCTAGATAATGATCCTGTTTGATCTCAATACATGAACATATCTAAACATCTTTGACGCTACAATCAATTTCAAATACATTTACAAACTGTAACATCCATAGTAATGACAGTAAAGTTTGTATTTAACAATGGGATGAAACTAATATTAACATTACTGATTCATCTTCTTACTGTTCTGTCATTTAATAAACTAATCAATAAAATAAATATGTAAAATACTGAAAATGAAAATCACACCTATACTGATTTATTTAAATGACTTTTGTTTGTCCCACCAAACTCCCCCAAATAGTCAGTTTACAATTAAAGTACGTCCAAAACCAGAAAATAGTCATGTACAAGAAGGTGTAAACAACATTTGGGGAATTTTTCTTATAAAATGACTGATACAATTCAGGAAAGGATTAAAACTGTAGCCAATTATGTTTCAGTCAATAAACCACTTGAGTTATTTAAATCATTTCACTCTAAAGACGTTAATCTGAAGCGATTGTATAAGAAAGCAGACTGTCTTACCCGGGCAGAGGACTTCCTTTAGTGATGCCTTCACCTCCATCAGCTCTGGGTTCTCCTCTGAGTCTTTTCTGGCGTGGTGGCTCGTGAAGTGGAGCACCGGCCACCAGTCTTTTCTTACCTCCATTTTTTCAAGGACCACCTTCCTCCAGTCTTCTCTGTTTCAACACACAAATACAGAGAAGAACAAACTTCAACAACATCCGTCAAACATTAAATCAAAAACAGAACAATCTTTTTTGTTTACATACTGTAACTCTAATTTCTGAATAACGGCTTTTAAACACTTCCACACGTCCAGGTCGCTCCTCCAGCAGGCGAAATCCAGCATTTCCAGAACGACTTCGACAGCTTTGTGGATATGACTGTTTTTCTCTTGGGGGGAAAGAAAACATCAATCATGGAACAGGGGAACCATTACTGGGAACTATGTCTGTAACAACATCCAACATCTTTAAAAATGAAACAATAAAATGAAACCTTGATTCTGTTTGTTTAGAACTGTCAAACAGACGCAGTACGGACAAATCAAGTAAACACTCAATCGATGAAGTCCAAAATTTAACTTTTCTGATCATGAATTTGCTTCAGTTGTGTGTGTTATTATAAATCCAGTTGTGGACATTATATTTAAATCTGCTTCTACCTGACTGAAGCAGGAGAGAGCTGTACTCCAACATCAACTCATGGCTGGGGACTGATACATGGAGGACCTGAAGCATAGGAAAGGAAAGTTAGAACAGACAATTATTTTAGTTGCACATATGTCTTCAAAAGCAACACAAAGATTATGTAAAATACCATCAAACTGTAATGTATCACATAGAGCAATGTTTAAATACTGTACAAGCTGCAGTGCTTTTATTTTGCACCTTCAACACTTTGATCAGTTTCTTCTCCGGAGCATCGTGTCGCTTCAGGTACTGGTACAGAAAGACATGTGCATTGGGATTAGGAGGAAAGTTGTTGTCATATGCGTAGTCGTTCAGGACATTCAGAGCCTCAGAGTGATCCTCATAGAACTCCAGCATCTGCAGGAATAAAACAAAAGTTGCACAGCATGAAGGGATATTTCCTGACACATTTGAAAACACTAAAGAGGAGACAAGGATCGTTAATATCAAAATATTTAGAGGGTTTGTTCTCAGGCTGAACCTGCTGATCATGATTACTTGATTATTTGATTGATCGTATGGTCTTTGAAAAGAACAGCAAAAAAAATGTTTTATAAGGGTTTGGTAATGATATCTTCGAAATCATTGCTAAAAACATATCAGCCTATATATTGGAAAGTCATCAACTCCTTTATATTGCTATTAAAAATCTGTATTTGTTGGACTTTTTTTACGAGGCAGTTGGGAATGTGTGCTTACCTCAACATAACTCAATATAAATGGATCCCAGACTCCAGGATTTTTCAAAATCTCCTTCAGATTCACAGAAGCCTGTCGGTAATAGTTCTGCATCTCCTGGTTGCCAACAGGGTCGTTAAAGTCTGAAAAGAGTCGCCCAAACATCACATCAAAATAAGCAGGTATCTGGTTTGAAGCAGTTAACACAAAAGCTTTACTTCATATCAGGGGACTGTACACACACAAATACATGTTCCACAACATAATCAGCTCCTCCATCAGTTCCTCTGTTTCCTGTGCAGTTACTGAGTCTGCCCTGTGGGTGGCAGTGTGACATCAAACAAGAGCTTGCAAGTGTGTCAGTGTAAGGACATAAATAATAGATGATTTGGGGTGTTGAATTAAGCATTGTCTTACTGTCACCAGAGAGTGTGAACTTCTTGTCACACCAGATGATATAATCTAGCAGGCTCCTGTAGGCCTGGATCAGCTTCATCTTCTGATACTGGGCTGCTGACTCCTTCCCGTACCTCCAACTTTCAGCAGCCAACAGGTGACGCTTTGCATCTTCAATGTGGCCATGGAGCAGTAAGTGGAAGGAGTGTTCCAGACTGATCTAGAGAATCAAAGAAATGGGTCTCGTGTGATTCAAAAAAGGGAAATCAATATAAAACCTGTGTAATCACATCAGTTAGCTCACGTACCATCAGGTAATGTTTGACTCCTGAATGTTTTATTCGTTCATAGATGTGGTTGTAGTCTTCCATCTTTGTATTGTGGTGATGGTGAAGGATCTCAGTGCTGAGTCTCCATATAACCTACAAAGAGAGTGTTTGTATCAATAATATTAGGGATGTGAATATCAAACTTGAATTCACCACTATCTTGAATATTTTGTTTTCTGTCTTGAACTGAAATTTATTTTTGCTGGATCACTGCAAAAATAATTAGCCTGTGGTTTTGGAAACAGGGATTTTTTGTAGCCTATTTTCACTGACACAAAAAATCTACAAAAAAACAAACCTACCTCTTTATAGTGCTTTGTGGAGCTGACAGTTGTGTCTTCGAACATTTGGGGGTAACACGCCATATACTCTGCTGCCTCTTGCCATCTATGATGCAGCATGGCTTCTCTGATGTGCTCCAGACAAAACCTGGTGCTCTGGTGGAACCCAGTTTCCTTCGATGTTTCTAAAGATAAAAAGTTTGTATTTGATGACATGAATGCATTTTCCATAACTATTATTGTCTATAATTTCTATAGATGAATACCGATATCAATAATTGTGATTGACTAATCATATAGATAGATATAGATGAAATAAATTTGTTTGATTTAAAAAAACTTTGACGAAGTTGCAGTGAGTTTTAATGAGGAATTCTTTTCTCTAGACAAACAAACGAGCTGGAGAGATTGCATCTGAATTAACAGACCGACATATTTGAATGTTTCCGTAATGGAATATTTTGTAATTTATCAACCAACAGAATCAAAACAATATATCTGCAATATGTCGATTGGTCTACGTGTTTATCAGTATGTGGGTACGTACAGCACAACCCACCTACACACATGAGATTAACCGGTGGAAACCTGGATTTTTTCCCTCCTCTTGAAGACGTGTTGTCTGAAGAGTCGTTGTCATCCTCCAAGTCTTCAACAAGTCCCAGCTCTCCCTCCAAGTCGTCCATCATCAGCAGTCAGACAGCTGCGTGTTAGCACTCGGACAAATGGGCTGTGTATGATTTACACCTGGAGAAAACACAGATCACCTAACGATAGCTGCAGTGGTTTTTATTACTGACTGCTGCTCGTCACAACACTGTAATTACTGTGTAATTCATGTGTATCTGAAATGAGCATTTTTAAGCATCAGCTAGATTTCATGCTTACTTAGCTTAGGTAGCATAGTTTTGAATGAACACCACACAACTGCCTGACGTTGAGCTCTTATTAAATAATCACACAGAGATATTGATTAGAAGAGCAGACTCCAGCTAAAAGGTAAAACCATTACCTCGGTTCTTAGATCCTTCTAGCAGTAATGTTCTGAAACCTCTTCCCGGTAAATAGCGGGTACAATTATCTTTCTATATCAAGAAACACGAGTGTGTACAGCTCTCGTGTTACTTCCGGAAATACGCTGCCGTGCTTCCTGGTTCGTCGCTAAGGAAGTGAAGTCAGACAGAAAAGCTGCGCGGTCATTGGTTGTTGTAGGCGGAAGGGGCGGGGAGAAGAAGTACCGCAGCAGGTTTTTTTAATTCCCTGTTTACATGGTGAATTTCAATGGAAGCCATTAATTAGTTGAACATGTTTTCCAGCACTCGAAGTAAAGTTAGCTTTAAAAACGATGCTGTGAAGTTTCTGTTCATGAACTGAAATCAAACAAAGTCAAAAATCAAATCAATGTTTTGTGTGACAATACTTAAAAACTCTTTACAGAGGATTTAGTCCGTCTTATCTTTAACCTGTAGGTTTATACTATGCATACACCTTTTTTTAATCTCTCATGGTATATCCAGCTCCCATATTATATGCATGTGTATTGTGTTTATACACAGTAAAATGTCACTATAAGGATATGGTGAATATTCCCCTGGGAGGGGGTTATGATTATGGGTTATGGGATCAGCTAATTTCCTTTTGTGTTTAAATGTAAGCTACAGATTGGAGCAATGCTCTGTGCATATATATTTTATGGCATGAATACAGTTCCCATTATCTGTCTATGTATCTATCCATCCATCTATCTATCTGTGTATCTATCCAGCCATCCATACATACATACATCTATCTATCTATCCATCTATCTATCAATATCCATCGGAAGAATGTCAGGAGATTATCCGGAGTTCAGTGCATGTTGAAGGCATCTTAATAGTGAGATGAAAACAAGTTTGGTATCTGAACTGCGTCAATACATTTTACATTATAAACACATTTCCCCATTTATTCAAGCGTCGATGCAGTCTGCAGTCTATTTCTCTATTTCACTGTCATTGTTGTGTTTTTATACTCATATATATATATATATATATATATATATATATGTATATTCATATTTGTACATAGTCGTTAACTGTTTCTGCTAAACCTTGTTCTGCTTCGGTATCCTTGTTTTTTTTGTTTCGGATATTGTTAGTTTCTGTTTCCTCGCCACATCTCTTCACTCTCTGAATCCAGAGCCCGAACATCCTGGTAAGAGCCTCCGGGAGCCTCCACCCAGCCGGATCTGATTTGCTGACGTGTCGGCTCCTCCGCAGCCCCCAGTGCTCATGCTCCAGCAGCCCCGGAATCGACACCACCAACAACAGAACTGCCAGCATGGCAGCGAAACACTTCTACCGACAGGGCTTTTTATTACTTTTATTCAATTTTATCTCGACCGCGGCCCTGGAGAAGCGCTTCTCCGACCTGAAGAGATGCACCGACGAGGAGTGCAGCAGTAAGTTTATTTCTTGTAAAAAAAAAAAAAAAAAAAAGGGGACTTGGAGGAGGCTGCATCTCCAGCTTCCCTCATCCCGGTGCACAGCCATAAACTGCGCCTTATCTCCCGACCTGTTGCCAGTCGATGCAGACCTGACAGACCTGCCTCGGCTGTTTGTGATGCTAACGTAGCGATGCTCTGCTCGTTTTAAACATAGGGGGGAGCTAACGTTAGCAGTAGCCATTAGCTCGGGAAGGTTATTCGTTGTGTTGGCCGGTTGCCTGGCAGCTCGGGCCTGCCCTGCTAGGTGGATGTTAGCAGCTAATTAGCCACCGGCCGGTGCTAATGTAAAGGTGCTACGCACACTGCTAGCTGCTGTTGTTACAGCTCATCTTTTTTAACTTGGCACAGTCTAGACGAAACAAACTTCCCATTCACTTTTACTGTCGGGTCATGTGGTGTTCAAGAATGCACCGCTGGATTAAAACAACCCGAGGAGAAGCCTGAGGTCGAGATCACCTTAACATGTCAACAATGCTCACTACGAAAACAAAAGGCAGGTTCGTGTGATGCGAGATTTACCAAAGTGGTGTAGTATCTATCTATCATCAGGGGAAGTTCGTGTGGAGCCATAAACCAATAAAGGCTGGGCCAGTAAAAGATAAGATAAAGCAAAGTGGGAAGATAGTCTTTTTATGATTAGTAGTTTAAACAAACCATATCTTCACAAATGTTAAGTCACCATGGGTAAATCCAATTGATATGGAATAGTTAGGAAAGAAAGAAAAACATTTTTAAGGGAAATAAATACACATCCATACAAAATGAAGAAATACATTAAAAAAAATAATATGTAGAACAATTCGCCTTTTTGAACATAATGAACTATGTTGCATTAAAAGTTTACAGCTGTACAACAAGACACCAACCAAAACAAATCTATTGAGTAATAATTAAATGTTTATTCTATTCTAACAACCTAAATTGAGTTTAATGGTTCCAGCTTTAAAATGTGAATATGATTTAAAAATAAACAATGTTTCCCATATATAGAAACTTCTAATTCTTCGTCTTCTGCTCTCTTAGTGCTGCTGTGTCGGGGAAAAGCAGTGAGAGATTTCTCTGGACCAGATTGTCGATTCCTGTCCTTTAAGAAATCGGAAACTATCTATGTTTACTACAAACTTGCAGGCAGAAGGGCTGACATGTGGGCAGGAAGTGTGAGTATATGTGATTAATACGTTTTGGATATCACCTGGGTTGACCTGTGCAGTTTTACTTATCCTCAACATGTTCTCCTCTTGTTTGTGTTTCTAGGTTGGAAGTAACTTTGGCTATTTCCCAAAGGACTTTCTTGCAGTTAACCATCTTTATACAGATAAAGAACTCGAAATTCCCACAGAGGTATGGAGATATTTTGCTGGCTGACTGAATTCATTTTATTTGTTAGATGCAAAATATCAAAATAAATTCTAATAATTTTATGTTTCATCTTCTTTTCAGGAAACAGATTTTGTCTGTTTTGACACTGGGTTTGATAAGTTTGACAATTATGACATAGATGTACTCTTAGGCTCCTCTGTGGAGGAGAATACCAGTGCAAGTAGGGGAACGTCTGACCAAATCCAAGTGGTAGAGGACACTCCAAAAGAAACACAGCCACCTGAAGAAGAAGAAAAGACTGAAAATAAAAAACAAACTGAGCAGCAAGAGAATGTAGATCATCTTGATAAAGTCCCTGATGATCAAAATGCCTCTTTACCTGAGATTGATGTGGAAACTGAATTGCCTTCTGATACAACAGCCACACCTGATGTTATTGAAACAGTTGAGCAAATACAACTAGTTGAGTCTGTTGCGGAAAATGTTGTGTCAGAGAGGAGTGAACCCAAAGATACACTCAATGATCCTCAAGTGGAATCTGTGGCCAAAGATGAGCTTGTTCCAGAAATGGAACCAATCTCAGTTTCTGAGGGAACGCAAATCCCAGAGATGAAAACCACCGTGGGAACAACTTTTGATGCCGTCACTACTGAGGAAGAAATCACTAAGAGAGTTGCACCGTTTGAAGAAAACCAAGAGGTGGAAAATAACTCCAAAGAAAACGTTGATGTTAAACAAGATGCTCCACTACTGCCTTTCACTGAAGAAGCCATGAACACTCCAGCACCTGATTCCCTCAAAGAGCATGAAGCTACTCCAGTAACACCCTCTGTTGAACCTGAAGCTACTCCAGTAACATCCGCTCAAGCTACTCCAGTAACACCCTCTGTTGAACCTGAAGCTACTCCAGTAACACCCGCTGTTGAACCTGAAGCTACTCCAGTAACACCCGCTGTTGAACCTGAAGCTACTCCAGTAACACCTGCTGTTGAACCTGAAGCTGCTGAGGAGAAGAACATGTGGACATCATTTGGAGATGCAGTTTTTTCCGTTGTCTCTGGGGGAGAGATAACAGCACAAGATGTGAGTTCAGAGGAAGATGATGACGAGGAAGAAGGTGAAGCAGCTGCTGCAAAAACCACTCAGGATTTTGAGGATGCAAAACAAAGAGTAAAGGAATCACTGATAATAGACTCTCCCAAAGAGCCTCAAATCATAGAGCAAGTTCTTCAAGATCCTCCTGGTTCCAGCTCTGTACAGACAGATAAAGAAACAATCAGTGATTCTGAAGAACTTTTGTTGGATCGTGACGATGAGGGTGATGTAGTAGTGATAGGACATGAAGAAGCCGGGGATGAAGTGTTAAAACCTTCAGATCATACACCTCTGATACAACACCAGACAGAAGCAAAAAAAAAATCCGATATTTTGTTAGCACTAACACATACTTCTGCAAATAATGAAATGGAAAAAACAGACATTAAAACAACAGATGAGACTGTTAAGCGCAAAGAAGACGAAGTGCAGGAGGTGTCCAAAGATTCTGCGGTCAAAGAAGAAATACAGGAGCGTAACATTGCAATGGAGAATAGACTGGATTCAGACAATGTGCCAGATGCAAACAAGACAGTGGGTGGTCATGTATCTGTCAGTACTGAAACTGAGACTCATCAGAACCTTTCCAATGAAGAGCAGTCAGTAGATTTAGATGTTGAAGAGGACATAAAGACAGTAGACAACAGCTTGTCTGATCGGATACATGAACATTTATTGGCAGATATCGAGAAGAATATCCGTCAAATAGATTTATCTGTCGTTGAACCAGAGATTCATGAGGAACCACACGCAGAGGAGAGGGAGGAAGACAAATCTGCAGAGCTGGAGGAAGAAATTGTTGTTGTGAAAGAAGAATTACTTGAAGATGAAAATGCACTTTCATTCGAACAATCAGATAACACAGACTCTGACAAACCCTCTATAGAACCCGAAACTCTGCCCACTGCGTCGACTGAAGAGCCAGTGTACAGCGACAGCGTGATGAGACTGACGCTACTGCGAGACCACTTCACAGAGGAATACATGGTGCGGGTCCAAAGGCTTCTGGGCCTCAAAAACCTCTTCAAAGTGGAGGCCATGTTCTCTGATCTGGATACAGAGTTGCAGGCTACCCGTCACTCACAAACAGGCGCGACGCAAGACATAGAAAGTGCTCTAGAGGAAATCCTGGAAGCCTCGGAAAACACCATCCTGGACGAGATTGAGAAGATGCTGGACGGCCAGAATGCAAAACAGGATCCAGACCAACATGAGGACACGAGTATGGATGAGGAGACTGAAATACTGGATGACTTCCAGGAGCTTGCATTCAGTTTACGGCAGAAGTATTCTACAGCCAGTGACAGCACACCTTTAGCAGCAGATATGGACCAGGGTAGGTTTGATTTGAATTATTTTATCAAGTTAATTCAGTATCTGATATAGATAAAAGCTGTGGGTTTAACTCCCGTGTGATGTGCTGCAGTCACACTGATTTACATGTTCTCTTCAACACGGCTGACAAAGGGCTTTCCCAGACCAGTTCAGTCTGGTGTATTTTGCTCATGAGCCATTGATAAAGTGAATGCAGAATTAGATTCTGTGCCACAGCATATGCAGCTATGAATTGTCTTTTCAAGTCCAGGTGAGACCAGCATCTTGTTTCTGGAACTATCCAGGTTAAATCCATGTCCAGTTGCAGTAAACACCAAGCAGCCAAAAGTGTTCTCAGTAACATATCAGGCTAGAGTTTCACTTCCCTGCCAAGAGTGAATTGCAAGAATTGCTAGTAGGACAAGATGCACATTAATGTTGGGCCAGGCAGCCAGAGAAGATGATACACTGGTTATTTGATACCTCGAGAAACCTTGTCTTACTTTTGAATCTATCCAGCTGCACTCAACTTGTGTGTTCTGAAAACTTGCAGTCTCTTAGTTTGGTAGCTAATGTGAAACAGCAGCTAATTGATATTTTGCCTGACATCTCACATTTTTTAAAATATGTTTGTAATTACCAAGTAGAAAATGTTTACGTGCACATGTCAATAGGGATGCCCAGACACAATTTTCTTGCCTGATCTTGGGGTGAAAAAAACAGATAAAACCTGATCACATGGGAGTCGAGGATCAGCCAAACAATTCAGCAATGAAAGCAGCTTGTCTGTTGTGTCATAAAATTCAGTGTTTCTACTACTGTTAAATTCATTAACTTATGTCAGGACACCTCTTTGGCTTGATTTCACCCAGCATTACTATCATCCTTTTTGGCTCAATGCAGTGAGATGTACACATTTTAAAATTAGGGGAAAACAGAATGCTGATCTGAAATTTGTGTCAGCAGACACCCTGAGTTTAGGCATCAGAATAGTTTTTAGAAATAATCAGATCACTGCATCCCTAGGTGTCATGTGGTGTACAGCCCAGTAACAAATTACATTTACAAAATTTTGGCTCCAGACGATGTGTAAATATTAAACAAGGACTTTTATTCTGAAAAGATTCTCCAGAAATGTTTTCTTTGCTGTTTATAATGTGTGTAGTTAACCATGTCCCCAAGTAACCCGTGTTTTTCAATCTTACCTCTCTAGTTGAACATGAATTGAATGTTACTGAGGAAAATGTCCACATTGTTGTGGAGGACAAGGTCGACATTGTTTCTGAAACTGAGAGTGAAGAAAACATCACAGTAACAGAGCGTGAGGAAAGAGCAGCAGAGACCGAGGAGGAGCCGATAGTTATGGTTGAGGTGCCCTCTGGACCAGATGTTAGCATGGAAGAGGACGGCGGACATTTTAATAAAAACAAAGACAATCAGATGGGATTCAGTTCATCAGATGACACGCAGAAGGTCCCACAAGCCACTCTGGAAAATCCTTTAGATGTGGGCGTCGGTATGGAGGTGGAGCACTCGCCCTCAGGTTGGTAACATATGCATGAGTGTTTTTTTGCTTTGAACCAAACCTGTATATTAAATTAGACATTTTTATTCAAGAATCCTCACTGGATGAGACAATGAACCTCAAAGGAGAATTTCCTCTTTGTCCAACAAGCACAAACCAAGTAATGGGTCAATTCTGTTCCCTCAGAATCTTTGGAGTCATTGGATCCAGTGTCGGAAATCCAGGAAGCAGAAGTGGGATTATTCTCAACTGGATTAGTTTACATGGGCTGCATCTTTTCTGTCGCCAGCAGTAAAATTGTTGAGTGGACATCTGTGGTAAGTCATAAAGAATTGCACTACACACAATGTATACACTGGCTTTGTCTGCTCAATCTTCGGTACTAAGATTTTTTTATTTTTAACATTTTAATCCATTGACCCACTTCATCATATCTCATCACATCTTATCATATCCACAATAACAGGATGCTGATTTTGAACAATCATCCATTTTGATAACCCCCCACACACACGCTAGCCAGTCTGCAAGAACACAGTATAACAATGGTCCCAAGACATTGGTGAAAGGATGCAGTGTGAGTCAGGGAATGATTAATAACATTTTTGGTGCGGATCTGAAACACGGGACATTTTCTTCACTTCCTCAAACATTCAGAGATCAGTATTTTTTTTTTTTTTTTTACTTTTTCACAGTTTTCCCAGGGACTAATGAGCAGATCTGGCATAATTAAGTAACCGATTTCTGTGAGTGTGTGAAATCTTAATAGAATGTAAGGACACTGTTACTTCACAGTAGAAATAAACAGGGGACAACAAAATCATTTTCTGGCCTCTTATAAGTTTATAATCTAAGAACCGTCCTCTTATTCCTCTGAAAGCATTTCAGGGCACAGCTTTGAATGCAGATCTTAAATAGAGGCATAGTTCGCTGGTATTTCCAATGTCAGTGAACGCACCACGGTGGAGGCTGAAGTCCAGCAGTGATCATCAGCCGGAGCTGCCCGCAGACCACAGCTCCTCCAGCGGCTCTCACTTCACCTCAGAGAGCCGCAGAACCATCACAAGACTCACACGGAACTCAGGCTGAACTCACACGGAACTCAGACAACCCGCTGTCAAAGTCATTTATTCTTTCGCCTTGTATCTACTGATACTTAGCCTCCAGCTCAGCTAGCATCTCCAGTTCTCCGGCTTTTGCGTTTTAAATATATATATATATTTGCGGTGAATGGGATTCGACGACTCGTCCTTTGCTTAATTTAACCACCGGCCTCTTTTATCAACCATCGACGTGTGTGAAGTGTTTATCTCTCGCACACTGCAGGGCTTTAACCGCTAACGTTAGCCTAGCTCAGGGAGCTAACGTGCTAGCAGGCTAGCTAACAATCTGTCAAAACCCAGCACAGCGGCGTTGAGGCTCGTTTTCGTTTCCAACGCTGGAGATGGAGGGCGAGGCGTTTTCTCGACCCGTGATGGAGCCGGATCATGTTTACGTGTTGTTTCTGAAGCAGCTGCAACATGTAAGTGGGAGAACCTGAGCTGACCCAGCTCCATGTCAAGTGTTTATTATGCTAACTCGGCCTGATGACGTGTTCTTCAGCACTGATGAACCCCGGCTTAAAACTGCTTATTTGTGAATTCTCCAAACCTCTCTGCAGCTGAAACCGAAGTTTGTTGATGAAAGAGATGTTTCCTGTTTCCAAAAATACTTGATTATTCATTCCTCTGGATAGATCAGAGTTTTAAAACCCTTCAAAACTACTAAGATTACACCCCAAACTTTGTGCACGTTTATGGTCATAACATTCGAAAAGCAACTTGTCTGACATTGTTGAAGACGTGTTGGTCCTCACAGACGAGGAGGTGTATTAAGATATTTGTAATCTGTTTGCCACGGAGTGTGTTTGTTCCAGTCTCTGTTGCCACATGCTCGGCTCAAAGGTTCGTCGTGGCTGGAGCGATCCACAGAGCTCATGACCGGACACTAACAAAAACCTTCACCATCAGTGGTTCAGTGTCAATATCGTGATCTGTTTTTGCTCATTAAAACCAGTCTGAAGTTCTCAGTCTTTTGGCAGCTTTCAGCCATTTTGTAAAGACGTTTAAACTGTAAAATCAATCACATCTCGAAGAAGTAGGTGAAAGAAGAAAGTGGTTTCCTGTCCTGCAGTAACCCTTTACAGTGTGTTTGGTGTTGTAATCGTTGTGGAAGTTAGTGGCAGGAAACTTCCTGGTTAGTTTTGTAACTTTTTCTGCAGAAAGTTCTTGTTTATTTCTATTAAATCGAGATTTCAGCTTTTCCAGTTGTGGTATAAAGACATTACTTTGTATATGCACTACTTTGTTTCATGTTAATGCTCTGATCATTTGCTGATTTGTCTTCTCCGTGGTGTGATTTGACCAACGAATCACTCGTGATTTTGGTTAATAAATACACAGAAGCTCAGTCTAGGGGTACATGTAAATATTGCAAGTCAGATTGAGTCAGTAAACTTGATGTATTGACTTATTGTCGTCAATTTAATTTAATTATACAAACATATGTCTTGTCACAATATAATTATAATTGTTGTGGTTATTGTTCTGTCTCTTCAGATGATTTCACTTTTGCCAGATGAGTGGAAGCCGGGGGAGACGTTGTATGGTTGTCCCTGGCAGGCGGTGGTCATCACTGCTTTGGTCGGGGTTGTAACCTTCACCATCTTCTTCTGGAGAACCGTGTTGGCGGTAAGTGTTGATATTGTTGCTCTCAATGTTTTTGTGTTAGTTTTAGTATTTTCTCCACCCGTACTTAACTTTGGTCTGATACATTTTCTTTATCTGGATCACTGTTGAACTATTGACACACACAATTCCTTTACATGTATGTGGTGATAGTGTAGTGACAGTTACATTAAACCATTTTGGAAAGATGTTGACTTATTGCTTTTCTAATTCTTTTAGGTAAAATCAAGAGAATATCTCGGTAAGTTTTTACATATTTTCTTTTTCACAAAATGCATCGGTATAGAACCTGATTCATGACCTGATGTTCTTTATGTTTCTCTTTTGTGTAAAGTGGATGAAAAAAGGCTCACGGGGCAAATCCAGGCTCTTCAAAAAGAGAAGATCGATGCTCTCAACAAGATGTCTGAACTCCAGAAGCAGGTGAGCTACAAGAAAGATGTGATCAGATCTCTATGAGCTACTTTGGAAAATGATTTTATTATTATAACTAACTTATTAATTGTTTTTTTCCTTCTTTAAGACTGAGAAACTGAAAGAGAATCAAAAGCAGTCAAAGGAAACAGTTGGGTCTACAATGAAAAGGATGCAACACCTGGAGGTAAGTGCAAAGAAACGTGGGATTTGTTTTTACATATTTGTTTTTGAACAATTTTTATTTTAAAATAGCGCTTTAAAATGAGGATGATCGACCTGCTGTGTCTGTAACGGTTTTTTCTATGTTGAATGTTATTGTGACCACAAACAAAATCTTCTCATTAGTAAAATTTGTCTCGTTAATTTTGTGCAGAGCAAAGTTTTGGAGGCAGAATCACGAAACAACCAGATGGCTGAAGAAAGGAATTCATATGTAAAACTACTCGAAGAGGAGCGGATGCACTCAAAGGAATATGAAACCAGGGTAATTGTTGAACATTATTTTCCTTCCTAGTATCACTTTTAACTGTTTCCTGAAAAGTATGATTTTTTTATCGTTTCTTTTTAACAGGTCGAGAAACTGGAGAAGTCAAATGAGAAGCTACAGCTCAGCAGGAAAAAGATCCAGGAAACGCTCTCTAAGGTACAGATCATTTTCACATTACACTTTAGGATTATTATAAGCTTTCGGTTTCATTATATCTAATAAATAGTTTTATTTCCTCCACAGACTGCTGTTCTCCTTGATGAAGCCAAGATTCGTGAAGATGCCAGAAAAGTTCAGCACAAATGTCTTGAGAAAGATTATGCAGCACAAAAAGAAGAGAACAAGACGGTGAGAAGACCTGTGGACTGGTTGAATATTTTGATGATCAATTAGACTCGTTAATTTGATGTCTCAGTCTGATTTTTTGTTTCTAAATGTAAATCAAGTCTTACTTGGTTAAAACTCTTTACAATAATTTAATATAGAGACTGATTTTGTCGATTGTTACAGCTTAAGGCCACTATAAAGGGCTGGGAGGACAAACACAAGGAGCTGAGTGAGCAGATTAAAACTTATCAAAAGGCCCAGAAAGAGCTGGAGGACTCTGTGGTGCTCAAAGATCACAACGTGGAGGTGAGTCTGTGTTCTTTTTGTTTTTTTCTTGGTCCTTAACTCCCATCAAATTGGCCGACTTCACACCAAAATGTTTCCTGGCAGGTGCTGTCTGAACTTCTGTCCGATTTAGACGCTTGCGATCTACAAAAAGGTGAAACCAAAGTTTTAGCCAATGGTGAAGTAGCATCTGGTGAGTCCAACCCTGTCACAATTTCCTATAGAAAAAGAATAATACGCATGCAAATAGATTTTTTCGTCTTTGAAGGGCTGCAACGAATATGTAGTCCACAATTAAAACTATTTTATGTTGGAGGTATGTATATTTTTTTGTTTAATGGTCTTTCTGTGTCTTTTACAGATAAGAAAACAGTCGTAAAGAACAGAATCAAACAGATGATGGATGTTTCCAGGGTAAGACGTCAAAAAAAAACTCGGGTGTAGTTGATGTTTATTCCTCTTTTTTTTTTTATAAATTATCATTTACACTTTATTCCCAGGTGCAGACCACTCTCACAGTAGTTGAAGAAGAGCGAGATCGCTTCATGACTAAACTACTGAACGAAGAAACGACGAGAAAGGCACTGGAAGGTGTGTTGATCATGTTGGAAGTGCAGGAAAACATATATTTCTTTATATATGCAATTTTTATTTAATATCACTTTCTCCCTGCGTCTCAATAAACACGTTCTTGTATTTTGTAAAAGAACAACACCAGGAGCTGGAACATTCAATTGCAGCTTTAAAAAGCGAGAAGAGCCATGTTGAAAACCAGTTCAAGATCCTCCAGCAGAAGAACGAAATCATGGTGGAAATGTACCAACAGAAGGAAAACGCTCTACAGCAGTAAGTGAAGCCTGCAGCAGTTATTCAATCAGAATATAACACACTGTCCAAAAATACTTTTCTGTTTTTCCATCAGTATTAAATTTGACTTGTTGATTCACCATTATGATGTTGAAAAATAAGCTCCAGTGGCCACCTCATGAATAAAAAACATGGGCCTTTTCAAATGTAAAAGATGTTTGTGAGCGCAGTGTTCACCAAGACGGTTCAAATACGTGTGTTTCTGTGGCTCGGCAGGAAATTAACCAAGGAGGAGCTGGAGCGACGCAGCAAAGAGAATCTGCTTTCGGAGGTGGGAGGAAAAGCTGTGGAGGCCGAGGAGCAGGTTAAGGTTTTAAGGCACCGCATTAATGAAATGGAGGACCAGATGAAGAAGACGGAGGAAGTCTACAAAGAGCAGGTAGATTCTTCATCAATTCTGAAGTCAACAGGTCCAGAGAATATTCTTACTGAGACCTGAGTCCTGACTGAATGTCTTCTTTTAAATTCTTTGTCTTTTTTAGATAAAAGAACAGGAAAATAAAACTCACTCAAACTGGGTATGTTCTCACAAACTGCACGTGCATTTTAAAGCCTGACTAAGATTAATAATCACTTAAAGAGGCTTTCTGGTTGTTTATTGATTCTTTATTTGTCTCCAGGTGAATGCTCGAAATGCAGAGAGAGCTCTGAATCAGGAGAAGCTTGAATCCTCAAAGCTCCGAGAAAAGTAAGTGTTGGCAGAATAAAAAACAAATGAAATAGATTTAAGACTTTTGACAGTTTGACTTTCTGACTGGTGTTTGGGAAATTGTCAGCCAAGTTCACTACTCTGTAGTTGTCACAGATTCATATAGAAACTTAGCTTGTTTAGAAATCTAGATATTTTTGAGTAGACGCCGTGTGAGTTAGCGATCTGGGGCTGTTGTCGGAGAGTTCCAGAATTTGTTAGCAACTGAAAAAATCAGGCTGAAAATGGTGTCGACTGAATCAGGCATTATTTGCATCTAACTGTGTTTTGGTTTTTTCCCCACCCTTCTCAGGTTGGCTGTTTTAACTTCACAGCTGAACGAGCGTCGTGCTCCTCTCTTCAGACCGAACCCTGGACAACAGGCAGGTCCTCGCCAAGGTAAACAAACCCCACGCTTCACAGCTGTTTTCTTGTTTGGACAGTTCTCATCCTGCAGAGGTTTACACAGAATGTCACTTTATTTTTTCTTGTATTTCATTATGAATAAATAAGAAGCACTTGTTCCTTCACTGGACTCGACTGTGAGAACCCTGGGAGGACGACGACCTCCCACAGATTGTGATGTATTGCGAGCCGTTTCTTTTCCTTTAGTAAATTGGATGGTTTGGTCATAACAGGTGACTCATACGGGCCCTCTCCTGTGAGCGGGGGTGCACCATCCCCTCCAATAATGATAGAGGGTCCCAGACGCCCCCCCTCTGCCCCTGTGGGGCGAAGAATTGACCCGTATGGTGAGTCCCCGTGGATTACATCACCCTCTTTGTCACCACCGCTGGACATCGTCCCTTTGCTGCAACCTTTTTAGACTTTTAATCATTTCTCACTCCTGACTTTATTCTTTTCAGTTCTGTCACCTTCAATTCTTCCTTTTTATTTCTTGCCAGTGTTTTGCATCCTGCATCTTCCTGGTCCGTCTGCCACCAACTCTTTTTCCCGCTCTCATTTTTAACCAGTTAGAAAATTCATCTTTGAAGACTTTTCTTGTTTCGCTGTTCCACCTTGTGAATCCACCTCTTGTGTTTTTAAGGACCCTGAAAACAACTGTTTATTTAAAGTAATGGGATCTTACACCAAAACAGTTTTGATGATGACATTTTTTTGATTGCTGTGCACTAGTCATTAATTAAATTTGAAAGCAGGTTTTTCAGGGGCTTTAAATCATCTGCAGTGCTCTTTTCCTCTCACCATCTTCCTCATGAAGTATCGATGACCAGTTCTTTGCCCTCTTCATACTTACATTTCTTCTTTCTCTTCCCTGGAAACTCACTATCGACAGTGCTGAGGGTTTTTATTCTTCGTCACAACTAATTTTTTGTCTCCCCTCAGGTCCTCGACCTCCGTCAGATCCTCATGGTCGCTACGCTGAGAACAAACACATCTCTGGGATGGGTATGTCTCCTGAGGTCTCTGTAACTGAAGAGCTTCATCATAGCTTTTAATTTGCCTTTAATGTTGCTGTTTGTTTCTCTTTCAGACATGATGGGTCCCCGCAGCTCATCGCCCGCCAACATGGATGGACCTGTAAGTCATTTTCTAAACCAATCAGACATTGATTAAATACCTGACCACCTTCCATCAAAAGACTCAGATCCTGTCTACATGTCCTTGCTCTGAAACAGACACAAGCAGTAGATCCACAGGTTAAAGCAGAGACTCAGGCTGAGGCCTCCACAGAGAGTCCAGAGCCAGTGAGTACAGAGGCCGTCCAGTGCAGGTGCTCGGTGTGAAGTGAACGCAATCCCTCCACCTCCTCTTCCGCTGGAGCTGGATTTGAATTTGGGAAGAGATTAATGGCATTTTGCTTCACTGGGGCTGAGCTAACCTTTTGGGCTGAGTGTGTTTAACCTGTTCTCACGGCACTAAACGAAGCAGTGATTCTTTTCATCAAGACCTGAACATGAGCTGCACTGTGTTGTTGCAAAGTGTGTGGGTACAATCACGGTGTGTGGTTACTGGTTGTGTGATTTGGCCTTGGTTAGATCCACAGATGGGAGTAAACTGTGGTTTGTGGATCTCCTCACTGCATGACTAAGATTTCAAAGCATCTTGAAATCACAGCACCTTCAATTTTCTGATTCTTCTGCCTTCATTTGTATTTTATCAGGGACCTGGATCCTTCATAGCGTCTCCAATCAGGGACTCGCCTGGTCCCATGATCCAAGGACCTCCACCTGGCCCTGGACCCCATGACCCGCTCCTCCCTCCAGGACCTCACATCCGCCTGCCACCATCAGGACCTTACAGACCCCCGCGGCCCGGCCCCGGCCCCTACCACCTGCCGCCTGGTCCTCTTCCTCCAAACCTACCTCCTCCTATTCATGGGCCTCCACTACCAGCCAACGGACACCCAGGTATGCCTGGACCAATGGGAGGTGACTTTGGGCCTCGCCCCGCCAACGGACACGCGTTCCACCCCAGGCCTGGCCCAGGTCATGTCATTGATCCCAGGGGTCCCCCACTACCGCATTTCCGTCCTCCTCCGCCTCATCACTTTGGACCAATGCCTCCACCACACGGTGCGTTCAGCTCATCAACGTTTGATTAGTTTCAGTTGTACTTCAAAGTTTACACATAAGTGTACCACCTGTACGCTCTGCTCAGGCTCCACCCCTCGTCTGAATGGTCAGGACATTTTCCTGTTGTTGTGAACGCATCTGACCCAAACCTGTTCTCCATATCTGAAAGGCAAACTACACAATATCTGGACGTTTTTCCTTTTTCTCAAGACATTTTGGGACAAGTTATGTTTTAAAACTGACTAGTTCAGTTTTTGTTTTTTAAGAAGAATTAAATCTTTTTTTTTTGCTTATTTCTGTCAAACATTCACTTTCAATCACTGACAGTTAGTTTGGCAGCAGATTCTATAACATACTGTATGTTTAGAGCGCAGGACTGTGGCTATTTCTTAAAAACAGTGCGTCCCAGAACAGATCAAAACATACTGACTTCAAACATTTCTCAAAATTAAAGATTTGTTCAGTCACTTTATTTTCCCGTCATGTTCTCTTTAATATTTCCATTTTTCGTTCGTCCTGCTCAGGTGTCCGAGGGCCCATTGGACCGCGTCCACCTTTCCCTCCTGACATGCGCTTCCCAGGACCACGTGACCACATGAACCCACCAATGGACCTGCCCCCAGGTATCCCAACCCATCCCGCACACCCTGGTGATGCTTTCGGTCAGGCTCCACCCAATGCCCTCCACAACTCAGCAGGCGCTCACAGCGGCCCCGGGCAAGACCTGCGTGTGAAGCAGGAGGCCCCTCAGGACTCAGCAAGGCCAGCCATGGCCAAGCCTTAAAAATGCCAGCTGCGGCAGAGAACTTGAATTCCCCATTACCCCCAAACGCATCACCTTCACAAACCAGATCCAGTCCAAACAAAGGTCATGATTATTTTCTATTTCAATTATGAAATAAATAAAAAAAATTTAAAACTGCAATTATGTTTATTTAAGAGAAACATGGTCCTGACATTAAAACAAGAATTGTCTGAAATTGATATGAGATGAAAGGGTTGCCACTGTTCTAAACACCTTTTTGTGCAATAACAGTTTATTATATGCCAGAAACATTTTCATTTGTGTTTATCTTTTAGAAGAATATACATGGCAGTGATTTTTTTTAAAGGGCAAATTGTTTTAAATGTCATTTCCTGTGGAAATTATTTTAAGAAAAGGAGAGATTTTAGCTTCTAGCATTTCAGGAAAACCACAATTTTCCCAAAGCTGTTGCTTTAGAACGAAGTGTAAAGCAATGTGTAATTTGATGGCCAGATGTATAACTTATTTTACTATGTTGGTAGAACTTTTATTAATAAAGAATGTGAAAGTAGCCGATGTATTGTTATCAACTGGTCACAGTTCACCTAAAGAGGATGTGTTTTCACACATGCTCTATATTTTTAACTGCGATCTGTTCTGCTACGGAGATAATGGAATTTATTTTTGAAAAAAAAATTTTTGTTAAATCGTTCAAATGCTTTGAGTTCCGCAAATTGAAATCCAGCTATCTCCACTGCACCAATTTGTAGAGAGACAACTCATAAAATGTGTGTTTAAGAACCTGCCCATTATTAAAAGTTCAATTTATTCATTCATAAAATCATGGAAGTTACTGGAGTGTACAAATACCCATTTACTAAAATATATCAAACCTATTTAATGTGGAATATATTCGTTTTATTTTCATTTGTTTATTTCTTATATTTCATAAGCACAGTTGGTTTATTAGGATGATTAGGATATTGTTAGTTGCTTTAAACATGAAAATTCTGAGAGCAGAAATAAACGTTTAATTCTTTTGATTGTAGTAATGATCCTCAGGAGTCCGTCATGTTCTGGCTCTCTGGATGAAATCCTCCATCAAACTGCCTCATTTATGTTTATTTTATTAGAAATTCCAAACACAAGTGTTTATTACAACTTCCCTCAATCTGTCAACGAAACGAAAAAGTCTGTTTCCAGTCCTACCACATCGTACACACACACACACGTCTGTATATTCATCAGGTTGTTATTTTCTCAGTTCAGTCAGACACTAGAAAAATAAAATCTGAAAATATTTCAATGTGGATGTTTTAGTGAAAGAGGAAACTCGTCCAGATGGAAACAGTAACATGCAGCTTTACCAAAAGCTTTTTGATTTTCAAAATAAGAGAAGTGGAAAGATCCTTCAAGAGTCATCGTCCTCTGAACTCAGTCCTGTGTAAGAATCTCATTCAGATATAACATGACAATACAATAGTGTTAATCATCTGAGCTTTAACCAGAGAGAGAATACACATCCACAGCATGCAAACCACGCTGCAGCCATTCTACACTTAAAGCATTTATAAAACTTTATGCAACAGGATTTTAACATAATAAATTCAATACATACTCAATCATGAACACTGACATGTAGCGACTGTCAGAATTATGGGATGATTTCATTGCTACTGGGTCATTCGGTGTGAAACTCTGACGTTTAAATTGAGTTTAGCAAGAACTTCTTTACAAAGGTCAAAATGCAGATGACCAGAAGAAAATGTTAGAGGCCTCTGATCGAAGACACCTATTTTTATATTTAACATATAACTGCACCATGTAATATTAGGAATGTCACCGCTGAGTCCAAAACCATAGGATGAAACATCACAGTTATGGAGTCTGGAGCCGCTAAGATTACTTTTTAATTTAAAGACCCAGGTCTTGCCACCACAAAGTCAAACAGTTAGAGTGTTGGCTTCTTAAACTCAATAATTACTTGTAATGTTAAAGGTGTCTTGGACAAATATCCCCCAAACCTACAATTGAGCTCTATGACACCTGGCTGGTTGACATCAGATGCTGGTGGAGACCAAAACAGAGCTGAGTGGATATTGTGCATTCATTCATCAAGTGGCCAAAAGCCCTGCTCCACATCTTTATAAACTAGTTTACCATCAACTTCAGATGAATCTGTGTTGTGTTTACAGCTTTTATTCACTTTTAACAAAAGGTCAATAAATCAGTTAATGTAGGTTAATATTAAAAAAAGCCTGAAATGTTTTTTTAGAGAAAAAAAGTGAGATGGGTCATTTATAGAAACATTAGTGAAATAAGAAGAATTTAATAACCTGTTATGTTTAATTATATCATTACATTTTGGGAGTAAATAAGATTTAGTCATTTATTATGTTAATACAATTTATTGGGGTTTTTTCTACTTTTTTACAAAGCATAATGTAAGTGCTAATTGAATTAACTAGTTTGAAATATTTTTTTAATTCACCAATTTATTATTTGATTCAATGTGTCTCACTCTGGACTCCATAACATCTAATTCAAGAGTGCAGTTCTCGTAGCTTAATGAAGGAAACAAACTTTGTCTCTCCGTGTTATTTATTCAGCGCATGACTCTGCAAACTCTGTCTCCGCTTCTCCAACAGGTTTCGATTTGTTTGCAAAAATTGTTGCTTTTAGTATTTTGCTGAATTTGACGTCAGTCCACGGTTCAATGTCCAACAAGTCTGTTGAGTCTCAAATTAAGCACCTGCAGTGGTTTCCGTTGCGTCTCACAGTTCCCAAAAATCTGAGCGAAGGAAGACTAGAGATGAGGTTGTTTAAGTGTTAAAACATACCACTGCTGGATTTTTAAAAAAATCTTAACATTTCTTGAAGGGTTTCCTGTAGCAGATGTTTTCTGCATTCAACAACAAATGTAAAAATGAAAAACTAATGTGGCAGTCTCGACCTGATGTGACAAATGTTTGGCTCAGTTCAGATTTAGTATTGCTGGACGTGATGAGGTGGAACGGCGAGTAAAGGTGCAAAGTTTGAGACCGTGCTGCGTCTTAGCTGTCCTTGTGTAAAGTCTGATGAAGATGGAGATAAAGTGGTTTCTTTGTCAGAAGCTGCAGTTTCTTCCTCTTGAAGTCTGTGGGTTTCTTGTACCTGAAATTGAAGAAGGTACAGTTTGTGCTTCATGGCAGAAAACACACAACAGACTGGAATATTTTTTATTTAGGAAAAATAAAATGCAGCAGTCGACTCACAATTCAATAACGATGGGTCCCGGTTTGATCTCGTCCAGTTCCATGAAGGCAAAACATTTTGTGCTGGTAAATCGCTTTTTGGGTTTGTAGTGCTTGAATTCAAAGAAGATAGCAGCTCCTGAGAAAAAACACGAGTTATAGACAACGATTAAACTGCAAGAATATTACAAGAGAATAAAAAGTAATAAGCTTTGAGACTCATTTACTCTCCCCTTACTCTTAAACTCACTTTTCAGCCTGAGGATTAGAACCTCAACGCGTAAACAAACATCAGTGTGGTCAGAACTACCTAAAAGTACAGAAACCATCCTCGAGAAAAATTGAACAGAGTTTTACCTTTTGCTAATTTCTCCACATGTCTCTGGATCTCTACGTCCACACCGAAATGAATGTAGGTGTCCTCCTTCCTGGTGGCCACAGGTGTGTCCTGCACTGGGTTCAGATCTACACCGTTTGAATCTGCAGGGACAGAAAACGGAGGATATTCTATTTGCATTGAAAAGTTATTTAAGACGTATTTTAAGAAGCTCAGTCGTAGAATTCAAACGTGTTACATCACTATGGGATCGATACCTTTAACACTAATGGTCATGTACGGATCGATGCACTGCCCGGCGTCCTTCAGGCCGATTTTCTCAATCGTTATTGTGAGAAGTGTCATCCCCGGTTCTGAAGGTAACCGTGGCAACAAGGTACCTGAGAAGGACAGGGTTTAAGGGCATTAACAGTTACCATAGCAACACATGGTGGCATCACCGTTATGCTTTTAATCGTTTGACAACAGGATTCAGTGTTAAGTTACCGTTTAAGTATTTAAAAATGAATCAGTTATAAAGAACTTGAATCTTATAACACTTCCTGATTAGCATCTGTTCCACTGGCGTTCAGTTCTGACTGAATTATAGTCGCTAACTTTGCTGTTAAATGCTGGACGGGACTTTTCTGCTGAAAACAGATTTTAAAATGCAAATGCAAGCTTTTTAGTCACAATAGAAAAACCTGTCTGTCGTGCAGAACAGAATGGAGTCAGATACCGTTGGTTGATAAAAGCCGTACCTTGCGAAGCTGCAAATGAAGCGGGCAGGCAGGAAAGAGCGATGAAGCCATGCACAGCACCGACAGAGAGAACAAAAAGACACACGGTCAAACAGCCCGCACAAAACCGGACCAAATAACACAGCCAGACAAACATCTGGTGGACAGACAGTACCAGGGGCTCGCGGGGGGAAAGCCTCCGTCGAGCCCGCTCCTGCTGCTGCATCCTCCTCCTCCTCCAGCTCCAGGTTCTCCTCTTCACCTGGAGCGAGGATTTTCCTGATGAAGAGTGTTATAAATTTTAAGGTTTATCTAGACATTGAATAAAAACTTTAAATATCAATGCAGAACAGAAGATCCTACAGTGTTTAGCTTGAGACACTGTGTGAGGGATATTTACCTTAAGGGCACCGGCTGGACATCGAAAGGAAACTCTTTGTTGTACGTCAGTAGATTTTTAATGACTGTTGACAAATTGAGAAAGACACATGTGAGAGAAACAGAGAAGCAAGAGCATTAATTTACAAACGCTCCAGTCGAACACCTACTGGTTTCCAGTTTCTTCAGGTCTTCTAACTTGAAGTCCTCTTTGGACTGTGTGCACTGCAGGACAGAGGACAAAAGGTGACTTCAGAGGAACTTGTGATCAATAACAGTCTGTGCCCACACATTGTCAATGAGGACTTTAAGATTTATACGCCAAGTTTTTAAAATCAGATTCTAATTTACTCAATGTAATCAATTAATAACAATAAATACAATAAATATACACCACACAGGGAGATAAAATACAATCATTACTGTAGGTGTTGATAATAATTATTATTGTAGTTTCAGTTTTTGTCTTTGACAGTTTGTATGAAAAAATGCATTTAAATAAACATGTTAAGATTATTATAAACATACAGAATTTACACAATTTGACCTTCACTGCTGATGAAGGAAACATTATAAAACATGCTGTGATGTGTGTTTTCTGGTTAGTTTAAAAAAAATACATCTGACCTATTATTACTTGGCTATAGTCAAACATTTCTTTGGCCGGTGTGATGATGGAGTTTGGACTCCTGAGCTCAGTATTTCAAAATCTGGGTATTTTCATTTGAGCTTTTGTTTGTGGTTTCATTTGATTATTTTAGTTGGGCTGTAATATCCGAATGAATAAAAGATTCTCTATTTATCTATATGCTGAATGACACAAACCTGCAAACTGGCACTTCTCATTTCCAAGCATGTTGCAATCTTTCCTAACGTTTTCTGGAAAAAAGGGAGAAAAGGATGAGGAAGTTTAGTTTATGCAAATGACCAGACTTTCCCGTCCGCAGGTTAAGGAGATGTAATGATTACCTTCTGCTCCTCTGTGAAGTCTGAAGAACTTGTTGACTGCACCTCTTTCTGCAGCTGCCTCGCCAGACTAAATCCACCAATAAGAACACAGTTAGTAATGCACACGTTTTACAATGACACTCTGCATTTGACCTAAAACCATGGTATGTATTTGATGCAGGCATCTCTGCGCCTCCTTGTGGTCAAGGAGATAAGAACGGTCGAGAGATTTTGTGTGAAAGCAGGAAAAATTCCTCTCTGCGCTGATGAAACCCACCCACAATGATGAGAGGGTGTGGGTGACTATTTCTCAGCACTCTGGAGGAACACTGGCTCCTTTCTGGGCAAGTGTTGGTTGGTTGCCACCCGCCAATAAAACAAACAAAGAAGAAGAGGATACCACGCATCGATCTGGTATTGTAGTACCTCAAGAAATGGTACACCAACACATTAGATGGTGGTAATGCAACTTGATGGCGTAAAACCTCAAAGAGGAAGACGAAGAAGAAGGAGCAGTAATGCACCTTGGCCTTGGTTACCGCCCGCCAATAAACCAAAAGAAGAAGAAGAAGGAGAAGATGTTGAAGTGCAGATCAAGGGCACTTTGACGTTGGTTACCACCCACCAATAAACCGAACAAGGAAGATTTTTCGTGTTATTATTGCCATTTCAAATCAAAAACGCAGATAAGACGTTGAAGTAACTGAAAATAAGAAGATAGGAAACATTCGTCACTACACCAGGACAATAAGAGGGCGTGGCTGACTATTTCTCAGCAGCCTTTGATCTTTGACGTCCAGCCACTGCACGTATTTGCGAGCGTGCACCTCTGCGCCCCCTTGTGGTCAAGGTGATAAAACGTGAGCGTGTAGATTTTTTGGGGGATATTAGTGCAATTTCAATCAACCACTAATTAGCAGATAATGCGGAGGACAGCTTGAAATAACGGTGGAAGTGAAGGTGGAGAGATTCCGCGTGGGAGCTGGAAACATCGCTCTCCACGCAGATGAAACCCAACAATGAGAGGGTGTGGCTGACGAGTTCCCAGCACTGTGGAGGAACACTGGCTCGTTCCTGAGCTGCAGACACATCATGACACACCGTGCACGGGTGGTTTCTCCATGACAGGCTCGTGCACACACACGTGCAAACACACGTGCACACACACACACACACACTGTAAATGATGCTGCGGGTGCAACACGCGTGTTTCCCCTGCAACAAACCGCCACATCACGGATGAGGAGCCGCAGCTCGGAGCTAAGTTGGTGGGAAGCACCGTGCACGGACCGACGGCGCGCAGAGCCATGACACACACATGTTGAACTCCACTCACATGTGATACTCATCTATCGCCTCCACCAACTGTCCCCACGAGTCAAAGTCTGTGGCTTTCTTGAAGCTGCAGAGCCACTTCTGCACCGTCTTGTTGACATCGGACATGTTGGCGGGGGCGGGGGTTCTCGCGGCGCTCTCAGGGCAGCATAGCCGGGGAGGAGGCTCATCCACGGGGCTGCGGCGGCGGCGGCTGAGGCGTCGTCCGCCAGGTTTATCTGCTGCTGCAGCTCCGGAGACTCTCACTCACTCTCTCACACACACACACTCTCTCTCTCTCTCTCTCACACACACACACACACTCCGGTGACACTCCGACCAAGCCCTTCTGTCGGATTCACCCGGACACAGAGGAAGTCCCGCCTGGAGCTCGGGGGTGCGCGTGTTTAGGGACCCGGGGTCGCCCGGTGGAGGTCTATGATACAAGTGGTTTTTAATTTAAACGCAAATTATATTTAAACTGTGTAAAGCTCATTGTATTCCCAATAAAACTGAATAATTTGTAGCTCTGACTTTTATATATTTTTTACTTATTGTTATTATCTTGGTCTGTAAAAAAAAATCTCGTTTTGCACCAGTTTCATTTTTTTGTTCATTTAAAAGGGACAACGTGTATAAATTAACATGAGCACAATGATTTATGTAAATGTTTTAGACTCATTTTAATACTGTGGAAAACAAGAAAGTCTATTTTTTGCCCTTGGTTAATTCTTCACTCATTAGAATTTCTTAAAGATGTATATTTTTAGCTCATTTGTTTGAAAGTTATCATCACATACTTTAGATTTTGTCATAAACACAAGACACTTCAAACTAATGAAAGCAAATCGGCGTGAAGATGTTTATTTTGAAAATCAGGAGCATGGTTTCCGGTTTTCCTCCTCCTCGGTGGTCGGACGGTTAGCTTCGTTAGCTTCGTTAGCAATGTCTCCCAGAGCAGAACCAGCGCCGAGGTGTTCGAGGAGCCGCTGGACGCGATGAGATAAGATGGAGGGCGACGCGGCGGGTTCGTCTGTGGCCGAGGACGATGAGTGTTCGCGCGGTCCAGAGGTTTTGTGTCTGATGAGAGTCGGAAGAAACTCCGACTGGCTCCGGCTGCTCGATAATACTGAGGTGCTGTTATGCTAATTCGAGCTAACGGGCTAAATCTACTTCATGTCGACATCACACCAGGGCTCAAGTTCACTGCAGAGATTTCCACACATGATATATCCTCCTGCTGTGTTATTACACTGTGTTGTGTTTAGATTTATTTAGCTTTGCAGTGAGCTGAAGGGGGGAACAGTTAGCTTGGCTCTGAAGTGGCTAACTGTTGTTGTGTGGCTCATGTTTGTCATGTGTGTTTTTGGGGCAGGTCACCATCGGACGAGGTGCGGATGTCACCTACCAGCTGCTGTCTCCCAGCTGTCCTCTCATGATCTCCAGGCTGCACTGCACCTTCAAACAGAGGGAGGATGGACAGTGGACAGTCACAGACAAGAAGGTTAATCGATTAATCAATAAGTTGTGGCTATTAAAAAAAAAAACTGGGTCAGTGTGATGCCTTCAAGTGTCTTGGTTTATTGGATTCACAGGTGTGTGTCAAAAAGAAAATCAACAAATTGGGGGGAAAAAAATGGCTAAAACACTTGTTGAATGATTAACTCTGGATCAATTCATCGACTCATCATCGTAGCTCATGTTTCTACATGTTGTCGTAAACGAGTTCCCTCTACAATAAATGCTGTGGCCCTGCTATACAAATCACAATTGCAAAAAAGAAAACACAAATGCAAAACAAAAACACACCAACAAGACATGATTGGGCTGCCTTAACATCTAATCTTAACATTGTGGATAATGATGTGCAATGTTCAAATCTAGTCAATCCAGTAATCTTCATGAATGTGAATATTTGTGTGTTTTTCTGTGTCAGAGTCTCAACGGTGTGTGGGTGAATGGAAACCGCATCCCTGCCGAAAAAGCCTATCAGCTCAGGCTCGGAGACTCCATACGACTTGGGGTCCCAGTGAGCGGAACCAAGGTGGAGTTCGACTACATCCTCGTCCAGCGGCTGCTCAAAGACATTAAACTTTGCCTTGCAAAGGAACAAAGAGAGGGCACTAAAGCATCCCACGTTTCCAAAAAGCCCAAGAGGAAGCTGTCCGTGGAGGAAGTCGAGCCGTCTACCTCAAAGCCCAAGCTCTACCGCCACTCTTCCTCCGACAAGTCGTTCGCCAAGCCCTGCCCTTTGTCTCCGGTGAAACACCAGCAGAAGCTCAGTCACAGCGAACCAGAGAAAACTGGGCCCAGCAGACAAAGCCAAGAGGCGGAGCAGCCCAACAATGGCTCCAGCGATCTCTGTGACCTGGACAACCTGCAGATGTAAGTCGCAGTCCGAGCCTCTTGTCCCGTGTTAATGTATTTAAATCACTGATTGAAGCATCATTTACTATGAAAGATACATTCATCATAATCTTCTGAAAACCACAGGACACTCGACAACCCCTGCCAAGAATTCCTGTCAGATTGGTTTTACAAGAATCACAAATTATTCCAGAGATGTAGAAACATTTGTTTTGCAACTATTTTGTCTATTTGATGTCAAAACTTTCTTCTTTTTTTTTAAAATTCCTATCACAAGATTTCTTCAGATTTTTTTTTTGTAAAAAATTTTTTTTTTGCAGGTACAGCCAAAATATTCTGCTTCTTAGGGAGCAGGTGGACGACACCCAGAGACAGGTAGCGTCTCTGGAGGGACGACCACAGCAGGCCGACCCGCTCAGAGGGGAGCAGGTCAGGGAGCTGCAGGGTCAGCTGGAGACACTCAGAGCCAAAATGTATAGGATGGAGACGTTGGAGAAATCCTTCAGTGAAACAAAGAGGCAGCTAGAGGTGAGAGGGTCATTCCAATGGATCACATCGACAACAACTGCTTCCAGTGTGCTGAACTGAGTGTAGTGCCTTTCTGATATTAAATCAGCACAGTGTGTTTTTTTGAAATCATGAAGGTGTAACTCTTTATGTGTTTAGGCCGAGAAAACACAACAACAAGAGGAGCTTTTGAAAAAACAGCTGGAAGAAGCCTTACAAGAGGTATGGAAATGGAAGTTTCATTTATTGTGTTCTATGCACAAACACTAGCAAACAGACAAAGCATTTATAGTGTAAAATGGGATTTTTAAACATATAATTTTTTGTGAGTGCTGTTGTCTGAAAAAATCAAGTTTTTACATTTAGAATGTTCCTGTTTTCATCACCCCTAGCAAAAGAAAGTAATAGATGAACTGGACCACTCTCGGCAAGGCTTCGAAGAGATTCTTTCAGCCAAAAACAAAGAGCTAGAGTTGTCAAAGGTATGACTGTATTCGTTTAAGATTTAAAACTTAAACTTACATAATTGTGTTCTGGCTTCAACAGAGCTTTATTCATTCATGTTTTTTTTTTTGCAGGAAGAGAAAGAAAAAGCGAGGGCTCAAAAAGAGGAAGTGGTCACACAAGTGACAGAAGTTCTGGAGAACGAGCTTCAGTGCATCATCTGCTCCGAGCTCTTCATAGAGGTCGGATTGATTGACTGGATAAATATTTTGTTAGATTGGTTTTAGATAACTAAAGGTTAAGGTAAGGTTAAAAATAAATAAGGTAGCTTTTTATTTTGTGTTATTGCCCTCTACAGGCAGTCATCCTGAGTTGCGCTCACAGCTTCTGCTGTCACTGCATCAAGCAGTGGCGCAAGAAGAAAGATGAGTGTCCCATCTGCCGACAGGCCATCCAGTCTCAGACCCGCTGCTTGGCGCTGGACAACTGCATCGACGGCATGGTGGAGAACCTGAGCCTGGACATGAAGGCGAGACGCCAGACGCTCATCACAGAGAGGAAAGGTGAGAGGTGCGTTATCACTCACATCCCTTCAATCCCAAACTGAGCATTGTATTCATTTTCTAAATGAGCAGCATGATCAGCACAAACATTCCAAAACATTTCAAAAGCCAGTTTACTGCATTTTGAAGGTTTATTTCCTAGTTTTTACAGAAATATGTAAAAGAAGTTTTAGAGTAAGACAAGCAAGCTGCTAACAATGATGTCATCAATTTACAGTAGTGAAGGGTTTCCAGATGGTGTTCAGAGATAAACAGTGACAGCAAAGTGTCAGTCTTCTAATTTCATCTTTTGTAAACGATATTAAAAAAGCCTCAGTTCAAAATAGTTTTACTAACTAAATGTGCAATATGTTGACATGGTGGTGATTTGTTAGTTTTTATGCAGTTAATTTTGCACACATCATTTTCTAGCCTCATACCAGCAGCAACAATATTGTTTCCCATTGGTTTCCCTGCAAATATTATCCACTGTCTTGAACTTGAAGGATATCTCCCTCAAACGGCATCTACATATTGGACAACAGCACGTGTCTCCTCATTCAGGATCACACTCATTACTCAAACTCGCAGCATTAATATCTGGCCTTACACTGTCATACTTTACTCGCTGTGGTATGCGTTGCCACATTCATCAGATCTAGTGACTGTAGAGCTCTGACATGTGTGGGTGATCTCAGTGACTAATATCCTCCATCAAAGTGCTCCACCCTCAGCTGCTCAGACTCTATGAAGCTATAAATGGGTTTCCCCTGTTTAAAGAGCAGTTACAGTCATTTCAACCTGTCTCTGTCTAACACACCACTTTGAGAAATGCTCAGTGGCATGACAGGAGCACAGGGCGGAGGCTGTGTGGCCCAGAATGTGGAGCAAGGTGAATAATGCAAACACAAGGTGGCAGTAGAGCGAGGCCAATTTGTGCTTTTTCTTTTGTTTCCCATAAATAAAGTTTTACTGATCAGAATAAATATACAAGTAATTCAATTGTAAGCAAGTAAAATTAATTATTGTTATTGCACCATTTAAAATCATAAAATGCCTCCAACAGGACGTAGTATAATACAATATAATGCAAGGAATCAGTTGCAGGGAACAAACATACGTAGAGTTTTTCAAAAGCCTTTAAATGTAATTCAGAGGGATTATATTAAGTTTTAGGACTTGTAAACAAATGCTTTAGGAACTACACAGATTTTTAGGAAGGAGAAAAACAGTTTCTCAATATTGCAATTTTTATTTTTAACCAAAAAAGTCAAGGCAGTTGGAATAATTGTGTAGTAATAATAAGTGTGGTATTTATATATGGAAGGACTTCTCAGAAGGAAGTTGCTGCTTTTTCTAACAATTACAAAGATAAAGAAGAAACTCAAAATGTTATATTATGTCTTGGGTTCTCCAGCCGCTGACTCTGCCGTGGTGATGGTGATCCACGATGACGATAGCAGCAGGAGCAGCAGGAGCACCAGGAGCAGTGAAAGCGACGACATTAGCAGGAGCAGTGACAGCGACAGCAGCATGGTGTCCATCGATAGCAGCCTGAGCTCTGTTGTCTCTGTGGACACAGACAGCAGCATCCATTTGGATGACTCCAGTTCTCTGTGTAGTGGTTACTCTGATGAGAGCGTTGATGAGTTTGAGGATTAGCCCGGTTCTCCTGCAGCTGTGGTGTGAGCTGGACTTTAAGGTGTTCCCGGGACATTTAAGGTAGTACGCAAAATTTGGTCTGAGTCCAGTAACCAGACTAAACTGAGGTTTCTTTTTTTTTTTTTTTGTGAAAATTATCAGTTGTCTTTTTGTCTATATTTTCAACAAAAGGAATAAAGTTTCTGCCTATGCATTTTCATACTCATCCTGTGTTTTGATGCACACATCGACTTTGTATGAGCACTAATTCATTGTGTTTAGGGTTTTGAGGAACAAGGAAGTTGTGATGCATAGACTCTACGTAAAGATGGACAACATGACAGCTCCCCAGAAGCAAAGCCAAAGCACCTCGATGGGGTGAAACGTCATGATTGACAGCCGAGACTGACTCACGATTGGTCAAGCATGCGTATCGTTGCTATCTTTCTACTGCAGCAGACTGTGGCTCCAAATGCTCAATATGGCGGCATTTGTATTCCAGACATTTTGGCTTCACTTAATGGGAGGCAGTCTATATGTGTCATCCATCTTAATTTATCTGGCAGAAAATGGAGAGTTGGGTTTTCTTTTTTTGCCATGCTACCCCTACAGCTATAGGAAGTATCTTAACAACCACTAGATAAACTGTAGGAACAACCTGCTGAGTTTCATGTTAGAAGAAAAGAAATGTGTCAAAGGTCTTTTTGTTTTTATTTAATGCTCCCTATAGTGATGCCCTGCTTTCCATTTGTTGACATGTCCACCTGGGAGTTGTCTGTCTGTCCAACAGGCTTAAAGGCTCCAGGGAAGGAGGAGCGGTAATCGCTCCCATTGGAGTCTTCTCTCAGCTCTCGCTGGTCCTGACTTACATAGAAACCAATGGAATGATGTCATGAGATGTTGTGACAAATTCCATTTCACGAGTATCTGAAATATAAATCTGCATTTTTTTTATTTTTGTATTTGAAAGTGCTAGACAGAATAAAATTGTATGTAACATACAGCAAGGATTCCTCTTTCAAAAGGGTTTGTTATTTTTTTTATATAATCCCAACAAGTTGTTGGCACAGCTGCTAATATGATGCGATGGATCTAATTTGTCTCCCTTGTCAAAGGGTTTTTGTTCTTGATGAGAGAGAATCTCATTAAGATGACCAGCATCAAGTAAACTGCTTTAAACATTAATGAAAACTTCATTCTGTTTATTCAAATGATTGCCTGTTGAAAAGAAACAAACCCACAGTGATTAAAAGAGTATTCTAGGCTGGTAAGTTAATTATAATGACAGAATTGAATGTACTGATGCACCACTCAGGGAAAAATCTGAAGATGTCAAAATGATGCTTAATAGATATTTTGGGATGTTGGAAATTTCAGCATGCAGACACAGTTTTAGAAATTCCAGGAGACTATGGGACCTGTACTGTTAATGAATATTAATATTTAACTTTTTTCTTGTGAAATAATGTTCACATCGAAATCATGCAGACTCACACCAAAGCGTTAGACATGCCAAACTGATCACTGAAGCCCTACAGTTCTTGTTCGATGCAGTGATACTGAATCATGCAACGCAGCCTCTACCCAGAGTGCACAGCAGCTCACACAGTGAGTTTGCCTCCTGTGCTGTGATGGCCAATGTCACGGCAGTCCATTAAAGTCGGGATACGAAGGGAGCGTGTGTCTGTCAGGCCGTATTACATGAGGACGACAGTGATGGACTGCCTCGGAGCCACAGCAGGAGCCTCTCATTCCTCCATCCGACTCCTGGAACTACCTCAAGATGTCAGTATCAGCCATCTCTCTCTCTCTCTCTCTCTCT